TTTGTTCAACGCTGCAATATGTTTTTCCAAGTTAATACAAACGCATCATGAATTCATACGTAAATGATCGGCATTTTTTACTATATTTGTCATTTATTTGTTTTCCGTCCCAAATAAATCTTTCGTCCATTTTGATTTTCAATATGGAATGATTGATTGCGGTTAATGAAGTCAAATACGCACATGTACTTTATACATTGAAACTTCCACCCTTTGCAGGCTAATCAATATCCGCCCAGTGTTAATTGCGCCTATGACATTTGATATTTAAGTCAATTATGCTGTTGAATAATATTCGTTGTTATTATAAATTCCCTATCAGTATAGAGGCTTAAGACGGCGAAAGCTAACATTATTTGTTTGTTTTTGATCAACGGCTAATCGACAACTATGGTCATTAAGGAAAAGAAAAACCTTATACTATGGGGCAATAATTTGATGAATCAAAATTAAAAACATACATTAAGTCGTATTTCTCATTTAAATCAACAGCAGGAGAGGCTTAGAGCATTAATAAATAGTACAATGGGGTACAATATGAAAAATTAGTTTCAAATATAGTTTGAAATGGAAAGAGATATTTATTACCCCTTTGAGAAAAATCTAGGAATCTGGTTGGTTAAAAACTACAGTGTACCAAACCGCATTCGTAAATCTCAGGGAGTATACGAAAATCTCAAGGGGTATACGGTAATGTCACGTGATTCTCAGCAGTAATACGGTGGAATCACGTGATTTTACAAGGGGAATACGGGTCACGTGTCTTTGTATCTTGCGGCCGGGCATCGGGAGACAACTCGCATTCGTCGTCTGCTTCGCTGTTTACAAAATGGCAAAACGTTTCGCTTCGCATACTGATGAGGAAATACTAGTAAAAAGGGCTAACTATGTGCCACATAACACACAAAAGTCGAACAGACGAGCGGCAAACATGCTGAGGACGTAGTATTTAAAAGGAAAGAATCAGGAAAAACAGTTCGAGGAATTTGATAAAACGAAACTAAACGAGGTACTGTGCCTGTTATTTTTCTTCGTTTTTATTATAAAAGACTCAAAGGGGTAATAAATTCGTTACACGGATTTTTGGCAGGGTATACGGGATGGTATGACCTAAAAGGGTTTCGTATTTCCGAAATACGAAATCCTGTAGGGTCATACCATCCCGTATACCCTGCCAAAAATCCGTGTAACTAATAGTATGAATGCCGTAAAAAAGTAAAAAACACAAAAAAGACAAATGCCTTTTAGAAAGTTACATGTAAATAATGTTTCCAGATCTACGTAAGTAAAAACGGGTTTTCATGTCAATATACAAGATACAAGAATATCTGACTATAGTCGTTAATGTGAAACAATAAATATTAGCTCTGTAGAGCAAATTTTTAGGCAGAACATGAATGAAATATGAAAAAAATGGCTGTGAAATTGAAGTATTTATCACGAATGTATCTATAATCTGAACATTCTATTAACAAGTGCTCCTCTGTAAATGGAGTGTCACATGCGATAAGTCCCACGCTTATATTATTACAATGTATTGAATGGGGTCAAGTACTGTTCGATAATTATGATAAAGACAGTGAATAAAATAAAAAATAGATTTTACTACACTTTGGACAGGACTGTTCCATACGCTAATAGGTTGGTTGTGTTCGATGAATTCAGTTCCACAACGAAATGCAATCATTACGCAAGATTCCAGTCGGCCTCTACTCCAAGGACTTTGTCGTCGCCATAGTCTTCGCTATCATTGACTCACAAATGATACCTGTCATCAAACCACATGACAGGTGGGATACAGTTTCAGACAATCTTCCACATATATCAGTACCTGGATGAACGCCAACATGCTAGAGCTTAATCAGGAAAAGACGGAACTAATCGTCTTTTTTCCAAAGTGTCAGCAAACAATGGCTCTCCATTTCAAGATTGGTGCCAGAGATTGTCCCAGCTGTTAAAAAACCTAGGGGTATACTTTAATACAGTCGAACCTCGTTATCTCGAAGTCGACGGGATCGCTGGAAAACTTCGAGTTATCCGAGTATTCGAGTTAAGCGAGTTCATATGTTTGGCATAAAGCTTGGTAAAGTGTTTGGTCAAATATGAGGCTATCAATACGTTGACTGTCGGAAAAATCAACAACTTATATAAACAGTCGATAAATGACAAAAAGATAACGATATAAAATAAAAATAACAATTTATTCTTAATCATATTAATTAATTGATACAAATCAATGTTACAATAACCACACGTACAAACAGGAAGAACGTCTACTGTAAAAATTACATGCTGTCTCCGACCTCGCTATGCTGATAGCGGAAATAAGGTGCGCAGGTCTTCACACAAATCACGGTATTGGAGCGTACACGTAAATGATGTTTTTAATGAGTACACGCGAAAACAATACACAATCTTTCTCTTCACGCCGTTTTACCCTTTCAACTGATCCAAGTATCCCCCCGGTGGAGCTTGACTGATATTCAAAGTGGCGACGCAAAAAGACAGTGACAACGTAAAACAGAATATGAACTCAACTGAAATATTATGGATTACACAAACGAACATCTGTCGTACATGATACCGATGTTATATGTTCAACACAACAGCAGACGTTTACATGTCTCCATATGTAGACAATCTGAAAGTATTGTTAGGAGGATGACGTTGTAGTAGGTAGTATCATTGGATGAGTTTCTTTTAATTTAAAAGGTTCTTGCCAAATTGAGTGTATAACACGTTAGTACATAAAAAACAAAATACTTATGCTGTTAAAACATATATACACTGGATATTAACTGAATTTACATTCAGGTTATAGTATCGAAACACCATAAAATACAGCTACAGTAAAGCCTTGATGTAATACTCCCTCGTTTTATTTTCTAGTTAGTGTATCGCCGACATATTTCAATGTCCCTTTTTCTCGTTGTGTTAAGAGTTCTTCTATGAATTTCCTTCAGTATTATCACAATACCCCTTTATTACGCAACATTGTTCTGTACTAATGTTGGTTGTATAACCAGGTTTTATTGTATGTAAATTGGGCTTATGATGCTTATGATCGCAAGATAAACTTTAAGGTTATTTCATCATGACAAATTTTAGGCAAACACACGGAAAAACAAAGAAGGGTGTGCAGGGAAGGACCACACATGGCATTTCTTCTTGTTTATGATTCTAGCCAGGTATCATTAGTGTAGCACAGGTGGAAGGCAGACAAGAATACGACGGCATATGTATAGATACTGTTTAAAGTAATTGGTCAGGCATTGATTTCTTCTAACAATTATTAGCTCTGTGCATAGATACGTGTTGTTCCAGGTTTTCATTTTTGGAAGGATATTTCATGTGTTTTTAATATGTTGTACCATTTTTGTTTTTTTTATACTTTTAGCCATTTAAAGGTTGAAGAAATAAGTGATCATATAATAACTTTGGTACACGTAATAACATTGTATGGATATCACCAAGTAAAACAAAGTATGACGGTATTAATCGATAACCAGTCACGAGGCCCCGTCCCTCCGCAACAGTTATGTTGTGTTTATTTATCACTGTTGAAATGATATATTCGTGTACATTGATCTCTATCATCGATGAAAAACCATATATGTATCATGTCACATATATAAAAAGGACACTCATTCAAGGACATTATAAACATGTCTGATATTGGAAATTGTTCGTCCTAATAGCTTAACTATCAAACTAGCTAAGGTTATAAAACTATCCAATAACGTTCCAGTAATGGCTTAATGCTGAGCAATTTTGTAAATTATATTTTTAGTTTTACTGCTGTCTGTAGAAATAGCCTTTTTTATTAATCATTTAGTAGTATCTACAATGCTTTATGGTCTCATAATCTTCTACCTAAGCCTTAAAATATACACCTTCATCAATAATTGGAAGTATACACAAAATTCGGGTGACACAAATTATTGTGGCAGGTTATTGATCTCTACCAGTTGCATACAAAAAGTACATAGATAAACCCATCATTGAGGGTACAGGTTATATAGCTGCAATATCGCGTTCCCTTTGAGTAAAAGGTATACAATTACTAAATGCATGATACATAAAGGATATCCTGTTGTTTAATTTTGAAGAAAACTGACAGATTGTTAGCATAGTGATTAAAATGTAGACTTGTTATATCCTCTGTAGGTTATTGCATTCTACTGAATTATTGCGAGATGCAACTAATAAACAGTAGGATGATACACGGAATACACAAACAGAACTAGCTATGTGTTTTATGAAATTATATATATATATATAAACTGAGAAATAGAGTCACAAAGTTGAACATTAGTACAGTTGTATGACCGTGTCCAAGTAAGTACACTTGCAAAAAAACTCGTGTCTAATACAGAGACCCACCTTAACATTAAATGCATTTATGAATTGAAATAAAAAGTAAACATATTGAAGGTTAATCGGTGGCATTCAGTCTTGTGAGAGCATAATACGTTAAACTTAATTAAAGAAGTGAACTGTCAAGTATTATATATAAACAATATAGTTATGTTTCTGTCACTATATATATAATTCACGATAGAATGGGTGTCCATAAAGTAGTGTTCGGCTACAATGGTTTCTGTTCTGCGTCCATTTTGGCATAAAAAGCTCTGTGAACAGGGACAATGTAAATTGGATTTCTTCGGTACAAGTTGAGTTTCAGAATGAAATCCAACAAAAGTTGTTTTTTAAATATTGTGCTAATACTGCAAAATAATTTACGGGGAGGGGGTATTGTGTTTACGTTTCCTCTGAGTCTCCTTAATATTGTATTGTTATACGTGTATCGTATTTCCTAATAATTATTGGTAGACGAAAGGAAGTGCTTTCAATAAGTCAAATATTTTCTGTTTGGCTTTTTCGAAAATGAGTTGTTTGTTTCCCACCGCAGATAGACGGACAATAACGAAGTGGATACTCCGATTCTACATACGTGTGTCCTATGTAAAATATTGACCTTATGGTTTTAGATCCGGTGTTATCTTATCAGCTTTATGAAGAATGTTACACAGGATAAAGCTTGCTATCAAAATGCATATAAAGGCAGACTACAGCCGATTTATCTCACATCTCATTTGAACACATACACTGTACGGCTGGTTTTTCTAATAAAGGTATGTTTCTCGGCGTATTATCATGAAAATTAGATGTTAAATAGCAGTAATGTATTTCTGAAAATATATCATCGTGTTTTATTAGAAATGTTATCTATTTTGATTTCCAGAATGTTATATACTGCTGTTTTGATTTCGTTGTTTCTTTATTAAGAGATACCTACGGAATACATCTATACCATTTGCAAAACTCTTGTCATATGATTAGCTGATTAGGGCGTGAACTGAATTCCAAAATTGCCCATTCGTTGTCAAAAATAAAGAATGACTGTGCATGCTACGATATCAGTGTAATACAATGATTATTTGGCAAAACATTATGCATTGATCACTTCTGTGATTGCCAAAATGTTTGTAGCTTTTAGCGATACGTTTATTATCTTTTGAACACACTGAATCATTGATTATTGCTTTATTAGACCAATTGAAAATTGGCCGAGATGTTGACAGGGAGGTTTGCTGCTGTCAATAGAACGTATTACTTTCATGTCGCACTGACATTGATAATAGTTACAAATTATTCACTTACGGATCATTTTAATGTATAAATCATTAGATTGTTTTTATTTCAATAATTGATACATAGCTAAATACATTGTATATTTTAATTGTTCAGTACTGTAATATGACGTTTACAAATATTTTAATCAAGTTTGACGTTACCTAAAATCAAGGCGTTTTACGCACCTTCCCTTTAGTTTAGACCAATTTAGATTTCAAACTTTTTGGCCCCTAGCATCATCGATTAGTCATATAAGGACGAAACAGCTACATAAAGTGTTATTATTTTTTGTCATACTGTATCAATTACTAAATTTCAAAGGTGCAAACGGTTTGGTTGGTACATTCACCTTATATACTACAAGGATACGTTCATAACTACAAAAATCGATTTACATAATGTGTACGGTTTTGTAGAAAATAAAACAGCAACAAAATGTGGACTTGGAGTCAATTTATCACCATGGCTCTCCTTGTACATGTACATGTAGTACTGATGGACGGTAGTGTACAGGCTGCTACGCCTGGAACTCCAACAACGAATCCACATTTGAAATTCCGTAAGTAAATGCTTCTCCTGAATTAAATTAATTGACTTGTCTTGATATATCATCAATTTAAAGATGGCATACGTTCTTTGATCTTTCAGTGACTGCAGGACAACATAATGGTCACATATAACAAATTTAAAAGACCAGTGCCCGATTTAATATTAGGGAATTATATCTTAAAGAGAGGGTAACATATTTTCAATGCAACACCACCTGAATATATGCAGCAAATACAATTACTGGATAGCATGTTAACAGTAGACATACTTAGCATACGACAAAATAGATTAATACTACATACTTATTGTGCATATATAAAGGGTCATGTTTAAACATACTTTGAGAGCATATTCCACTGATATAACTTTCAAATCATCGAAATTGTATTTTGGATAATATTTTTCCAATTTGATTTACTCTCTGTTATCCAAATAATTTGTCCACCGAGCAAGACGAAATGGATGTGAACACAAACATATCTTTACGCTCATTTTCTTCATTTCGCGGATTAAAGGGCAAATGTTGCTTCCAGGTCGAAACTGAGATGTCTCAATTCTTTTTAAGTTAACGCCTCAAAATACATTAGTAATGGCAGTATATGGCATCGGTAGTGGCGAAATTGTCCGAGCAAACTATTCAGTTTTTTATGTCTACTTAATGATATAGTAATCCGGATGTGTAGGTTTAATTATCATAATAGCGAGATTATGATAACTAGTATGATAATAATATCGGTAAGTTAACTTAGCTAAATAGCCTTGAGGACATATATTAGGCCGGTCATGTATGTAACGACTCGTTAAACACTCATGTGTGACGAATTATTTTCATCTTTTAAATTTTAGACAGATAATATCGAATTATTTATTAACATATAAAATATATATTATATTACTATCCAAACTAGGTCCATAGAGTTATATTGGATGACAAATCAAGTATCGTTTCTTTCTTGTTCAAAATATATATTAGACAGTTGAAAGAAGTTATATTCTAATTGAAAGCATTTTACGAGTTGCAGACTATGAGGTGTATGCCAACTACAAACAGAACTTTTGAAGATGTTGGATACAGATAAAATGTATATCCGGTTCTAGTTGTTATTGGTAAAACATGCAATGACAATGCATGTGGCGATGATGTAGGTTGACTCTGTATAATTCGTTTGTTTATCAAGTATATTGATTATGCTGCCTGTTAATACATAATTAGATGTTCTAATTTCAATATGCTGACAGAAAGTAGAATATAAAGGCTAGGTTAGGTTATGATGTAAAAAGTTGATATCACTTATATACTGGAAACTACATGTTAGGATAAAAAGGTAAATTTACAGCTGTGTCGGTTTGATGCTTAGTTGACTGTACATAGTTTTCACATCAACGATAAATTGTTTGTAAAATGCCTTGTTTTATATAAAAAAAAAGTGGTCTCATAGAAATAGTTTACATAGAAAAGAGTACAACATAAATCAGTAACTCCATCGTACGTTGTGTAAATTTGATAATGCTATACCTTACGTACAAGTTTTAATGGCTTGTCCGCATGTTTTGAAGTTATCATATTATTACATATTGTGTTACATCAGTTCAGTCCTCTCAAATCATCATATTGTTAATGGCTGTTGTAGCCTGACATTCCTCACATTCCGGCATAAGGCATAATAATATTCGTATCCTGGCAAAACGCGTCGGTATATCCAATGAATATCCTGTAAAACAATGCAAAATACAGACTAAGTCATACCAATCATCATGCAATGATTATAACTGTTTATTAGACACCGTGTACTACCAAAGACCCTCAACTGGAAAAAGCGAATTCTTACGAGTTATGTCCCTTTATACGATTATAACTAAATACACAAAAGCCACTACGGATTTTATTCAAACACACAGCAATTCGGTTGGTGGCATTCTATCTAATCACCTCGGGATGATAAGAACAGCTCCCATTAAATCAGTAAAAAATAACTTAATCACCTCATATATAGTAAAAAGCACATACTACCAAAATCTTCCAAAGGAAGACCGTAGGCAAACATTTCTCTAGTGTATGGTCATTGTTTGCAGATTATCATCAAGTTGTAAGTATTATCAGAATACACAGAACAAGAAATAATTAAGGGCCACGTAGCTCTCATTGCTTGGAGTGTTGAATCTGCTAAATCCAGCTGTCGTGTTCAAATTCCGTCTAGGAACAGGAGTCAATGTGCAATTCCCGTTATTTATTTGCATAATATTTTATTTTTATTTTTTTTTTTTTTTTTT